GCATTATGTGGAAATTTCCCTAAACTAAACAACGTTATGAAACTGGTGCTGAAACGTTTTAATGATGTTCTATCTAGCATAGTTCAAGTTTTCAAACAACGCGATGAACCGACTCCGGAACTAGAAAATTCAATCTGGCTTAGAGATTTTGGTTTTCTCATGGACATTACAGAGAAATTAAACGAACTTAATTTCAGGGAAGAGACAGAAAACTAGCGGAAATGATTTCTGATATAAAAGCATTTATCAAAAAGCTGGAGTTTTGGGAACAAAACCTAATTAACAGCGATGCCAACCATTTTCCTATTCTTTCAGAAAAAATGTCTCAAAATCCATTAGAACCCTATGACAGCAAATATCATGTAGAAATAGTTTCTACCCTGAAGAATAACTTCAAAAATCGTTTTAAGGATTTCAACGAAATGGCTTTAGTAGCGCAGTTTGTTGTTTCACTCTTTATGGAAATTGATATCCAACAGTTTGCAACTTGTGTTATGCAGAACTTTGGCGAAGACATCGCTGCAACAGAAATGGAAGTAATTAAGTTTTAAAATGATTCAGCATTAAAATCGTTAGTCTCGAGTACCAAATGTATCTGGCCTATTGTAAGTAAAGACAAATATTCAGTTCTATGCCGTGTTGCCTTGAAAGTGAAAGCATTACAGATGAACATTTGGATAATTGTATTCGAATGGCTGTATCAAATTATACTGCAAACATTAAAAAAATTATCGATGAGTCCAAGTGTCAGCCTTCTCATTGAACGTGCTTTTTTATTTTTCTATGTTTATGTTCATGATAGTGCGTTATTTTTTTGTTGTTATTATTAACTATTTTTAAATCTTACGTGACATGCCGTTGTGGCTGGATAAAAGTTTGTGTTTATTTTTCAAACACCTTCGTTTGGTAGGTAGGAATGTAGCTATGAACAAGTACGTACTAGTAATATTAGTTATTTTGTAATTAGTTTATTATTAGTACCTATGTATTATGTATTACCAGTTAAATAGTAAAATAAATACATATAATAATAAATTAACTGTGGATTATTTCATTTAGGAAGATTTTCTACCAGCGCCGGTAACAGACCAGGAAAGAGAAATAGAAGATGATGTAGATATCAATGATGAAGACATGCACAGAAAAATTGTATCTGAAGATGTACAACCTCAAAGCGATAACGAATATTATCTTGCCATATTTTTAAAGTTTTTTTTATAAAAGTTAAATAAATAAAAATTGCGACTTTTTACATATATTTATAAAAAGTTCTCAAAATAGGGTTTCCAACCACTCAAAAACGGTAGATGCCCTAGATATCCAAGGTGGACCGAGTTTATGTGAGAATTGTCACCTGTCAACTGTAATTTTTTTATGACGTTTTGAAAATTTCTTTATCGTTTTTCGACGGTTTATTAATAAATAATTTTTTTAATATTTTTCCTAAACACCCTGTAAATTTTACCCTATTCGAAATTATGCTTAATTGTACAAAAATATTACCCCACAATAAAATATGTTGAAATATTCCGATGACTCATACAGCAAATACAGTAACCAAATAATAAAAACTTCATTAATTTCTGGTGGACATTACAATCCATCAAAAGATTTATCTTACATCTTTGATGAAATATTTACAATTATCATGTTGTTCAATTAATGTCTTTATATGCTGCTGTCTTCATGTCATTTGAACATATACATTCATTTATAACAGTTATCAGTCGTATGTAACTGTTAACGAGTATAAAGCTCCTCAAGAATCACACTTAATTGTTTCTCTTATCGATCGAAATGATGAGTCTGTTGATTTATGACAATTAGTAAAGCAAGTAATTGTTGTATACATAAAAAAGCTGAAATATAAGAGTTAATGAATCTAATTATTGTTGACATTATTTTTATAATAATAAAATTTAAGAATTATATGGAAGTATTAACATTTTTGCGGTATTAAACGAAATCATGACTGACTAACTTTAAATTATATTTGAAAGATATTAATAGACGAATAATGTATCGAGAATTAGATAATTTTAAGATAGGACAGTCAGACAAAACGAATAAGATGTATGAGAGAGATTTTTAAATTTTATAAATATAAGCTTACTTTTCAATACGTGCTGAAACTTTAAATGAAATTGTCCTTAACAGTACTCTATTTGAAAAATAATAAGAAACCGTCAATACATTTTCATGCAGTGGAAAAATCTATTTGTACCACCCATTTTAAATATGTTCTACATTTTGTTTAAAAAGTGAATTTTATTTAAATGTGTCATGTTTTGAGATGCTAAAATCTTATTATTTCAAGGTCGTTAATAAATTCAAAATTCGACCTTTATGTAAAACACTGCTACCTCTTAAACAAATAAATTATAAACGGTAATATCTATTAATTAATTATTCAAAATTTCTAAATAAATTAATTCGAAGTAATCATTATAAATTCCATATACAGTGTGGTCAAATAAAAAGTATCCAACCCCCCTTTTCTTGGTTTCCTCAGATTTAAAGAAGAAATACTTCAACATGTCAATTTTTGTTTAGAGATGAACATACTTTTTTCCTAATTGCATCAGTGACACTTCAACCCTCGAGCGAAGGGATGAACAACCCCTAGAAGTGGCCTTTTTCGCACCAATGAAAAGAATTTGGCGAAGATGGAAAGTGTCGAAACAAGGTATTATTAAAATACAAACTTTGTCAAAACCATGAGAGTAAATCGAGTGTTATCAAAGGTACTTTTTTGTAGTAAATGAATACCCAATCCAAATTTCATACTCAAACCCCTTTTTTGCCATTGGCGTAGAATTTTTAAAGGTGCAATTATTTAAAAAATCAAGTTCTACGCCTATGTATTATTATCGGACAAAATTTTATACGATGAAAAACATAAAAATGTAGATAGCATCCGTCTGGGCGCGCTAATTAATAGATTTAGCAATGTATTGTGTGACGGTAACCAGGTTGGTGACTGTCAAATATTTTGGAGAAATTGCATATTACAGATATTGGTCTGTAATGGGTTATATCTCTTGTATCCCCCTTTTGGAAAACTGGACATATTTAGAGGTCTTCCAAATATTTGGAACTGTTGATGTCCTGAGGCATATATTTATAAGGATAGTTTAAGGAGGGGCAAATTGAAAGACATAATTCTTTAAAATAAAAGCTGGAATATGATCTGGACCAGTTATATTTTTAGGTTAAATAGACTTTAGAGCTTCATATACATCTTTTTCGGTAAAATTTTTGACATTAAGGAAAGGAACATAGCAATAAACGGTCTAGAGGTAATATATGACTGTTTGAAGAAGTCAGCAAATCCATTGAGAATATGAACAAGCGTCTTCTGCATTATCTGCATCCAGTCAATACTGGAAATTAAATTGTACATTAGTGGAAAATTGTAACAGTTTTCAAAGGTTGTTTTTACGATTAGTTTTTACTTGCAAGTAACAAATGATGTCCAGAGCAGGACGATGTTTATCTTCTACTAGTACAAATGGATCTAGCGATTTAGCACTAAAAATACTAGATCTAATAGCTAATTATTGTCATTAAACATAAAGTTAGACTGAGATAAATTAAAACGTTGAGAGAAATCATTGATTATTGAAATTTGTTACTTTTGCCGTTACTAAGATATTCCGCATATTTTCTAATATTAAAATCACCGATAACTAACAAGAAACTATATTTTATGATGTAATAAAAGCAGAGATTAAATGTAGTACAGGCGCTTGGTATTACTACCTTCCCCCTCCCCCCTTTTTTGAAAGCCTCAAGAGTGACCACGAAATAAAAATTTTACTTTTATTTTGTGCGCATGATATATGAAACCAAAGTTCGAGTCGAGTCAAACCAATCTCGTCCCCCCACCCTTTGAAAAACCGTCAAGAGTAGACACAAAATAAAAATTTACTTTTGATTTTTGATATGGTTGTATTGAAAAAAATCGGAGAATGGCCGAAATGAATTTCATTACATCCCCCCCTCTTTTTTCAAAATTCGAAATTTTTGTTTTTATGAATGGCAATGACCAAAATGCGATTGAATTAGGTAAATGTTCATTGTGATTGACCGAAGGTTAAGTTACTACCTCCCTCCATAAAGTGAGTGAAAGGGATGAAAAATTTTTATCGGAAATTTGATATTTTAAGATATACTTTGTTTAGATAATTAGAAAATAAGAAAAAAATTGGTATGGTGTAACTTTTCCCCACCCCATTAAAATTTTTATGGGGTTTGTTTTTTATATTTTATAACTGTTTTCGATATATTTTATTAGTAATGCAAGCAGAGGTCAAAGGTAGTAAAGCGCTTGGTACTACCTTCCCCCTCCACCCTTTTTTGGAAGCCTGAAAAGTGACCATAAAATAAAAAAATTGCTTTTATATTGTGTGCATGATGTATAAGACCAAATTTTGAGTCGAGTCAAACCCATCTCGTCCCCCCCACCCTTTAAAAAACCGTCAAAAGCGGACCCAAAATATTAAAAGTCGCCAAGAGTGACTTAGAAATAAAATTGAAGAATTATTATTGTGTGGGTAATTTATGGGACCAAAAGTCGAGCGTTTTGGTAGCAAAATGTTTTCCCCCTCTCCACTTTTTTTGAAAACAAGAGTAAGCTAAAAATTAATTTCAGATGAAATCCTTTTTGGTAAAGTATTTGGGACCATATTTTAAGAGTGTTGCGTTGACCAAATTTGCCCCATTTTCCAAAAATCCTCCAATAGTAAATGTGATATATTTAAATGCAGCAAAATTTGTATAGTTAATATGATATTGAATTCTGAAAATTTCAAGGTATATGACAATGTCCCCCCTCCCCCAAAAATTAAAAAATATTAGTTTTATCAACAATTTTAAAAAATATGAAAAAATGTTTTGATAGATACTTTTGAGATAAATATAAAAATTTATATTTTGTTCCCCCCCCCCCCTACCCCCTTTTATACATTTATATTTTTTAATAAAAAAAATAAAAAATATTGGAATTTAAAAAAAATCGTGACATATTATTGGGTGAATTATTTTAAGAAAAAATGTTATTTGGTGATAGCCCCTAAAGCCCCTCCAAATATGAGAAAATTAGGATTTTTATATAAAGATTGGAAATTTTTAGTTTTTTATTATAAAAAAAAATAATTGTTGAGAAAAATTAGTCAGCGACCCCGTAGGGGTCGCCGTATAATTTAAATCGACCCCGTAGGGGTCGCTTTATAACTTCCGGCGACCCCGTAGGGGTCGCCTTCTATATTTAAGCGACCCCGTAGGGGTCGCCTTATAATTTTCAGCGACTCCTAGGGGTCTCTTTATAATAAATAGTTACATTTTCATTTTGTCAGCCTTCTCCTAAACAACCTTCTAAGACGTTCCGCTGGCGGGACAAGCTTTCACTTTCACTTTCACTATTAAAACACCAATGATGACGTCATTGTGCAAAAATACATGACGTCATAAGTAAAAAAGTTATACCATAAGGTAGCTAAATAAATATTAAAATTTACGAGTCCCAGCATTTTGCTTGAAAATATCAAATAATACAATTATGAATTTGTATTCCTTACTTTATTACCACACTGTATAATAAATTGGTGATTTTAATTTATAAAATCAGAAACATACATTTCGAACGATAAGCATCTTATGAAAAAAAAAGTGTATAAAAAACGAGTGATTTTTCTGGCATTAGCATATTGCCACTGACCATCTATTTGGCACTGATTATCAATATCTTTTTAGTTGTTAGATAATTTTTATAACTGGCCCGGCAAATCTGCGAATATGTGGAATGGTATGAGATCTTCTTAAAAGGCAAAAATGGCAAAGGATTGCAAGAATTTTTATTTTATTAACATTTTCTGTAAATTTCATAACAATTCTTGCAGGGGGGGGGGGATGTAACGAAACCAAAAATACTATCGGGAAAATCCAGTACGCGCATAGGACTAGATTAAAATTTGTTTTAATTTAAATAATTAAAAATATTCACCTTTATTTTAGAGATTTGGCCCCATCAAGTATTTTTAGTTTATAATAATAAATATTATGTCACTTTTCAATACTCAGAATAATTCTTTATATACTAAGATATGTACCTTTCATTGTATTTCATACAAAAAACTTTTAAACACTTATAATCAACAATAATTTAAATAAATAATAATAGGCACTTGAGCTTTAGAAATAATAAAGATATATCCTGAATATTGACTAACCCAATAAATAATGTAAAAGAGATTCCAACTTGCATAGATCTCAATGATTTTCAGCCTTAATATGCTCAGCCTTTATTTGAGTGGCGACCGGGTCTGGATCGAAACGAGTGTGCGTCCTCATGTGTCTCGTAATCATGTCCCTTCTGCAAGCAGCGTAAGGACACTGCGGGCACTTATACGGCTTCTCACCGGTGTGAGTTCTTTGATGAGTCGAAAGGTGATCTGATCTTGAAAACACTTGACCGCACACGCGACATGTGTAGGGCTTAACACCTGTATGTAGTCTCATATGTCTTGTAAGCATATCACTACGAGCGAATGATCTTTTACACACTTCACACAAATAAGCTTTGGCTGCAGTTTCGCCGTTAGTTTGTCTGCTTTTATGTCGTGAAGCCATATGTTTAGCTAGACGATCATGTAGACTGAACATCTGACCGCACACTGGACAAACGTATGCGACATCCGATCCCGGAGGCATCTCCTCCACAACAGGCGAAACTTCCAGATTGTATCTAGAAGCAACTGATTCTTTTGTAGTCGGTGACGCCACATCACCTTTAATAACAGGTACTGAAACAGGTCCACGCGGAGGCAAGAATCCAGGAGGGAGTAATTGCAAAGGAGGCGGAACCAAACATTCTAAATGTTCTCGACTTCTGGACGTTTTCATCGATAGATCCAACGGAGATTCTTGCGGAGACCACGTATTCGAGTCTACCGATCCTTTTCCGCAGCCAGTAGAAAGCGTAAGAGGATGAGGCCAAGTCAGCGGAGCTCTGGCTCTTTCTGCTTTAGCGGCTTCGAACCACATCGGCAAATCCGAATCCGAATGGCTTCGTTTACGAAAGATATCAGGCAGGTACTTTGAGTGAAGGTAACGTTCGAAACTATACGTCGGAGCTGGAGATGATGGAGTTAAAGGTGAGATTGGCGAAGCGGGAAAGAATCTATCGTAAGGATGAAGAGGTGGAGGATGGTGGCCCATTACAACTCCAGTTACACACTGGTAGCATGGACAAGTTGTTTGCCGTTGATATAAAGGAGGACTGGGACTTGTATCGTCTTTAATTCGTAGAGGACTAAATCGTATTTGTGGAGAATCAGTTGAGCTGTGTGGAGATTTGTTACTTGAGCTTGCAGGACTAAATACATCTTCGTCTTCGCTGATTGTTTTGTACTTTTCTTTATCGGGTAAATCGAATTTAAATACCTCTGGTCGATAGTGTTTTTCTTGCATGGTCATATGCAGCGCCATATCACCTTTGTTATTATTGTAGGCCTCTGCAATGTTATTGTTTGTTGCAGGATTTTCTGGAGACGGTTCTCTATCTTGTGGCGATGAACCTCCACCTAAAACAAGAAAAACATTTGATATCCTTGTGTATTTAGATCACAATAGCTATTTGTGTAGTAAGAGCATAAAGTAGCACTTTCTGCTCGAATTATACACAAGACTTTTCTACGATCACACCAAAATTTTTTCATTATAATATTGTAAGTTTATTTAACATACGCTTTACTATTTGAAGACAAAAAAATATTTTAGTTCTTATATGTCGGTAATTATTTATAATTTAATCATTTAATTATTTACGAAAAATACTGTTGGATGATTTAAAATATTAGGAAGTCAATTAAAATATTTTAGATTAGCTTATATATTGTTTTAAAATATTGATTAGCTTTCTTTTATTTAATTCAAATGAAATAGACAAGCGTGTGTTAAAGTTACTTTGCCGCACGTGTGCACCAATAATGTCAAATTATGACAATCAGGAAGTGTCATAATAAAAGGCCAATTTTCTAGTTAGAAGCCTACTTTGGATAGTGACTGTAGAACAATATTCTTCCAATTTAAATTTTACCTGTAAGTTTGTCCAACACTTGAACAATATTCTTCCAATTTAAATTTTACCTGTAAGTTTGTCCAACACTTGACTCAATCGCTTCCTTTTCTTGTACTTGCCGACCACGCGATGGTTTTGATTGAAAACCAATGGATGGTTGTTGTTAGTCTTGTCATGGGTGGTGGTGCTCTCAGCCATAGTCATTTACGCTGGGCGGCTAAGGGCCGCGGATCCTACGTACTACGACTAAGGACCTTTGGAGATGATGTCATCTGGTTAATGAAGAAATTTTGGGATGGTAGATGATGAGTTAATGAGTTAACTGAAACAAAAGAAGACAAGTGATAATGTAAATTGGAAAAGTACTAAAAAAATTGCATTATTATTATTATTATTAATATTGTAATATGTTATTTATAAAAGACAAAGTAAATAAAATGTAATCTGTAAAGGGTCTGTAGTTGGTTAAATTAAAAAAATTTAAAACAAGTTGCGCAATTTTGTGCTCGTTAAAATAGTGACATGAAACCTTTGATATCTACAGGGAGATTCAAAATATCGGATACAATACAAATGAATGAATTTAAAGAAATGACAATTTTTATATTTTTGTTTGTAATTACAATTTAAATAATTTCTCAAAAGTTTTTTAAATTGTTCTTCACAATAGCATCTCGTTCTATACACGACGCATTATTTTACATAACCACCATGGTATTTAGTCAGGAAAATCTACTGTAAGTAATTTATTCTGCAAAACTCAATTTAAAACAGAGACATTGGATAAAAGAGAGAGAGAGATATGCTTTATTGTCGTAAAAAAATTTACAAAAATTTTATAGACAAAGCGTGTAACTTAAATACTAAACATATTATAAAAATAACTAAACAGCAGAAAAAACAAACAGAAACAAACAGACAAAATAGGAATAACAATTGCAATGGATATGCAATATCCGTCATTATAATTATTCTAATTTAATTTTTAAATTTAAATTTAATATTTAATTATTTAATTAATGCCATTGTATGTGGAACTCAAATGTCTAAGGTACGTTATAAAATTCTGCTACTGTGTAATATGGTCTTTCTAGAAGAAAAGCTTTAGCCAGTCTTCGGAACTTATCGTATGTATTTATAGATTTTAATTGCATTGGAAGGTTATTATACAATTTTTTGGCATTGTAGGTAATGGAATGTTTTAATAGGTCAGAAGTGGGCATTGTTAAATAAACATCAGTCTCTAAATTTCTTGTAGGATATCTACGAGTCGGTCTTTCGGATAAATTTTGAATGTGCTTGCGAACTAAGCAGACGGATTTGAAAATAAATAGAGCAGGAAGGGTTAGAATTTTGAAATTTTTGAAGTAATTTTCGCAATGTGTCCTACTACTTAAACCAAATACATAGCGGATTGCTCTTTTTTGCAGTTTAAAAATAGATTCGAAAAGGTATAAGCTACAAGAACCCCAGAAAGGTAAACCATAGCGAAGGTGAGATTCGAATAAGGAAAAGTAGGTTATTAATGCAGTAGAAGGAGTCAGCTCTTTAGAAACCGATTTAATGGAAAAACATGCGGAGGATAATTTTTTTGCTAAGGTATCTATATGAGCAGACCATTTTAGAGAATCGTCTATATAAAGACCTAAAAACTTGATTGAAGTCACCGTTTGGATCAGATTATTGTTTAAAGTTATAGGTTGTAAAGTACCTCTGTAAGACAATGCTACAGTTTTACTGGTGTTGAAACAAAGTCCATTCGAATCAGACCAGGACTTAATAGTCACTAGATCTTCACTTATGATAGATTGTAATGTCTGCATGTTAGAATTATTCCAGGTTACACTGGTGTCATCAGCAAATAAAGTAATTCTACCACTTATTCTTAAGTCTGTGATGTCGTTGATGAATAATAAAAACAAAATTGGACCTAATACTGATCCTTGAGGTACTCCACTGCTTATTGCTAGATTTGTAGAATCCTCACCATTCGCCCGCACCTGTTGATTTCTATTTTCTAGGTAAGTTTTAAACCATTGTAAAGGAGAACCCCGTATGCCATAAATTTGTAACTTATTAATTAAAATATCATGATTTACACAATCGAAGGCCTTTGCGAAGTCACAAAATACTGAAGCGGTGAAAAGTGTATCATTAAGTGATGTGTATATTTCATTAAGAACGGAAAACATTGCGTCGCTAGTGCATTTTTTAGGTAGAAAGCCATACTGATGAGCTGTGAGGATGTTATGCTTGAAAAGAAAGGGCAAAAGACGGTTTTTCATTAGCCGTTCTACTATCTTCGATAAGGTAGGCAATAACGCGATAGGTCTATAGTTACAGGTTTTGGTTTTGTCGCCACCTTTATGAAGTGGGATTATTATAGCTGTTTTTAGACAGTTAGGAAAGAGACCAATTTCAAAGGATTCATTAATCAGTGAAGTTAAAATGTTGATTACTACATCCGGTATATTTAGAAATATTTTGGTGGACAGGCCATCAATTCCACAGGAAAATTTATTTTGGATGTTATTTATGGTTTGCACTAGTTCATGCTTGTCTATTGGTCTTAGGAAGAAACTTTCAGTGATCCTTTTAGTAGGTAGGAGGAAGGAGAGAGCATCCTGACTCGGAGCTATGTTAGATTTGATATTTTTACTTACATTTACGAAATAATTGTTTAGTTCATCTGGGCTAGGATTTACACTGTTTAAAGAACGGGTTTTATTCCTTAAGTCATTTATTATAGACCAGGTTTCTTTGGAGGAGTTTTTAGCTCTTGCGATGCGATTTTTGTAATAGTTTTTCTTAGCAGATTTGGTGATTTTCCGATACAATATTCTGTAGTTGTTGATATAGTTTAATATTAGGGGATTATCTGTGTACTTTTTAATATACATGAGTGACCTCATATTTTTAGATGATGTTCTTATTCCTTTAGTTGTCCAAGATTTATGACATTTAGTTTTAATGGGGCGAAGGGGGAAAGCTGTATTGAAACACATAATTATTTTATTTAAGAAGTCTAAAAATTTAGAGTCAATATCTTCAGAAAGACCATTCCAATCAGTTATAAGATGTTGTTTCTACTGACTTCTCCAAAGCATTTGACAAAATTAATTATAACCTACTGCTAATCAAGCTGAATAGATTAAGATTTAACTCAAAGCTGATAAATTTGGTTAGGTCACATCTTTTTAACATACCATAATTTGTACACTACCTTGGATTAAATCAAAATGAAAATTTGACATTTATATTGTGTGCATGATGTATGGGACCAAAGTTCGAATCGAGTCAGACCCACCCTTCAAAAAATAAAATTTTTGGGATATCTATGTGCAAATAGTTAATGGAAAGGTTTTTGAGATTCATTGTATCCCCCCTTACTTTTTTTAAAAATCGCCAAGAGCGACTTGGAAATATTGTGTGGGTATTTTATGGGACCAAAAGTCAAACGCATTGGTACCAAAATTTTTCCCCCGTCTACTTTTTTTGAAAAAATCCCAGTTAAAATTTTTTTGGTAGGATATTTGGGACCAAAATCTAAGACTGTTGAAGGTGTTCACTACACCCCCCCTTTGTCAAAAATCCTCCAAAAGTAAATTTGATATTTTTAATTATAACAAAATTCATACAGTTTATATGATATTGAATTCTAAAAATTTTAAGGTATATAAAGTTGCCCCCCGCCTCTCAAAAACTAAAAAATAATAATTTTATTAAAAATTTTCAAAATATGAAAAAATGTTTTAAGTAATTTTGATAGAGATTTTTAAGATAAATACAAAAATGTATATTTTGATACCTCCCCTTATCCCCCCTTTTATATATTGCCTTATATTTTATTTAAAAAAAATTAAAAAATAAAATAAAATATAATTAATAAAGGTAGACTATAATACTTTCACAGGTATTATTCCCCCTTTGCCCATTTTTACTTTCCTATCTGTATACAGATATAAGGAAAGTATAGGAATCATTATTTTTTTCGACCTCGAGTTTTCGACGGATTTTTACGTTTTGAGGTCCCCTGAATCCGTTTTGACTATTTTCGCGATGATGTCTGTCTGTCTGTGTGTGTGTGTGTGTGTGTCTGTATAACGCATAACTCATGAACCGATACACGGAAAAACACCAAATTTCAAACTTAAGCTTTGTTCCAGCGTCTACTGAGCTGATTAGATTTTGGGCAGAGTCGGAATATCTGGGGGGGTACTTTATGGGTGGTAATTTTTATATTTTATGTAATATATCTGTTATTTACGTTTGGGGAAGAAAATTCTTCAAATGAAAGTTACTTCTTATTTTATTATCTATAATTTTTGTTATATACAAAATTTTCCTAAAATGGTCCGTATTCGCGAAATTTGACAAAATGTAAAAAAATATTTTTTTTTTATAAAAATTGTTCAAACAAAAGTTGTTTGTAATATAATTCTCTATAATTTTTATTCTATAGATAATTTCTCTAAAATGGACCGTATTCGAGATATTTGAGAAAATGTGTAAATTTCGAAATTTGAAGAAAACTCAAAAACGGATAAAGAAAAAAACATTAAATTTTAAACTTAAGTTTTATTTCGGCCTGACGTGAAATGATTAGATTTTGGACAAAGTCGGAACATCTGGGGCGGTACTTTATGGGAGGCCATTTTTATATTTTATGGAATATATCTGTTATTTATGTTTGGAGAAAAAAATTGTTCAAATAAAAGTTACTTCTAATATTATTATCTATAATTTTTGCTTTATGTAAAAATTTCCTGAAATGGTCCGTATTCGAAAAATTTGACAAAATGTGCAAAATTCTGATTTTTATGAAAATTGTTGAAATAAAAGTTGTCTGCGATATCGATCTCTATAATATTTGTTCATACATGATTTTTTTAAAATGGACCGTAATGGAAAAATTGTAGGAAAAGTGCTAAATTTAAATTTTTCAGTATTTTCATTTTCAATGAATATCTATAGAAAAACGTTTCGCGGTAGATGTATGTGGACAATGTATATATTTAGTTTATCCTCTAAACATTTATAGAGATGCTGCAATAGGTTGTACAAAATAACCGGAAAAAGCCTATAATAACTAGATAGGAAAGTCATGTGTTGGACACATCAGATTTTTTAATTAAAAAAATGATGGCATGTTATTAAGAGAATTATTTTAAGAAAAAAATGTTATATGGTGATTCCCTCCAAAACCCCTCCAAATACGAGAAAATTGGGATTTTTATATAAAATTTTTAAAGTTATAATTTTTACTTTCCTATCTGTATACAGATATAAGGAAAGTATAGGAATCATGATTTTTTTCGACCT